TTTATTTAAAATATTATGTATGGGGGGGGGGGGGGGGGGGCGAGAAGGTGAAATATAAGCCGATTAAACTTCAGCTTTTCGAATATGTAAATGTTGGACTGTCCGCAGCCTGGCCACATTTCTACTTTATTGCCATCTGGAATTGAATACTTTGTTTCTACACCACAAGTAATCAGTGTTAAGTGACGAGTGCTGTGTCAGCCGTAGAGAAATTTCAGATGTAAAAACGTGTTAAGCATCTGCAGGGCATTTTGTCGTGGCGCAAGTGAACTAATGGCTGTGTAATTCTCTTTTCTCCCTGCTTGTCACGCACCCCTCGGCAAAGGCTCAGGTTGGTATTTTATTCTCTGTATTGATTGTCATTCACATACAGTATTTATATTCCTGGTTACAGGCTGGAAGCATGTGGCCTCTGTGTGATGTCCAGTCTGGGTGAAAGCACTAATTTACCCCTACACTCTGCTCTATAATTTGCTGATTGAAGATTTGCATTGCGGGCGGCTTTGTGGAAGGCCGGCTGAATGCTTTGCTTCTTTAGCTACAGTATTTAATGTAAACCTGGGGCCAGGCTATGGACATTCAAGTATCTACATATTTTTTAACAAGCATTAAATGAGATTTAAAACAAACACCTCACTGGCCTATGTAGCTGCAGCCGCTGCGGGGTAATTCATCCTCAAAATTCACAGCAAGAGGTCATTCAAGTGATTCTGTCAAAATCTCAGATGTCCTTTGCTTCCTGTTTTGCAGTAAATTAGTAGCTCAGCTCCCACTGCTCCTTCTTCCAGCATTGATTCGCTAGCTGCTCCCCTACTCCGGCAGTTCCCCTTACCTTGTCTTCTTCCCCCCTCAGCAGCTCAACTCCCAGCTGTGACTGAGCAGTTCAATCCCACCTCCTAGAGCTCTTGTTTAACATTAGAGATTAGAAAGCTGAAAGGCTGCTGAGTCACTGCTTGAAGGTAAAAGCAGAGGGATCTGAGCTAATGGGTCACGGCTGATAGAGGGAACAGGTCAGTGCTGGAAGGTAAAAGCAGAGGGATCTGAGCTAATGGGTTACTACTGATAGAGGGAACAGGTCAGTGCTGGAAGGGGAAAGCAGGGGAATCTGAGCTAATGGGTTACTACTGATAGAGGGAACAGGTCAGTGCTGGAAGGTAAAAGCAGAGGGATGTAAGCTGATGGGTCACTGCTGATAGAGGGAACAGGTCAGTGCAGGAAGGGAAAAGCAGAGGGATCTGAGCTAATGGGTCACTGCTGATAGAGGGAACAGGTCAGTGCTGGAAGGGTAAAGCAGAGGGATGTAAGCTGATGGGTCACTGCTGATAGAGGGAACAGGTCAGTGCTGGAAGGGAAAAGCAGAGGGATCTGAGCTAATGGGTTACTACTGATAGAGGGAACAGGTCAGTGCTGGAAGGGGAAAGCAGGGGAATCTGAGCTAATGGGTTACTACTGATAGAGGGAACAGGTCAGTGCTGGAAGGTAAAAGCAGAGGGATGTAAGCTGATGGGTCACTGCTGATAGAGGGAACAGGTCAGTGCAGGAAGGGAAAAGCAGAGGGATCTGAGCTAATGGGTCACTGCTGATAGAGGGAACAGGTCAGTGCTGGAAGGGAAAAGCAGAGGGATCTGAGCTAATGGGTCACGGCTGAGAGAGGGAACAGGTCAGTGCTGGAAGGGAAAAGCAGAGGGATCTGAGCTAATGGGTCACTGCTGAGAGAGGGAACAGGTCAGTGCTGGAAGGGTAAAGCAGAGGGATGTAAGCTGATGGGTCACTGCTGATAGAGGGAACAGGTCAGTGCTGGAAGGGAAAAGCAGAGGGATCTGAGCTAATGGGTCACGGCTGAGAGAGGGAACAGGTCAGTGCTGGAAGGGAAAAGCAGAGGGATCTGAGCTAATGGGTCACTGCTGAGAGAGGGAACAGGTCAGTGCTGGAAGGGAAAAGCAGAGGGATCTGAGCTAATGGGTTACTACTGATAGAGGGAACAGGTCAGTGCTGGAAGGGTAAAGCAGAGGGATGTAAGCTGATGGGTCACTGCTGATAGAGGGAACAGGTCAGTGCTGGAAGGGAAAAGCAGAGGGATCTGAGCTAATGGGTCACGGCTGAGAGAGGGAACAGGTCAGTGCTGGAAGGGAAAAGCAGAGGGATCTGAGCTAATGGGTCACACCTGATAGAGGGAACAGGTCAGTGCTGAAAGGGAGGTGCAGAATTGGCTGAGCTGCTAACTCACTGCTGAGAGGGGGAGCTAAGCTGCTGAGAGAAGGGCTTGCACTCAAGTGCTTCTGCTATGCATTTTGAGGATGGTCAGGGGAAAAGAAAATGTGTATGTGAGCTGCAAAGTCACTGCTGTAAGAGGGAGCAGAATTAGCTAGGCTGATAACTCGCTGCTGGGAGGGGGAGCCAACTGCTGAGAGAAGGGCTTGGGTGACTTCAGTGCTTCTGCTATGAGGGTGGTCAGGAGAAAAAAAAATGTGTGTGTAAATATAAAATGCAACATATACATATTTTACATTCACATATCCAGCCAAAAGAAGGAGTGTTTTCTATGCCCTCTATAGTTCCTCGGTAAACTACGTCTGTTGGATCCTTTTTTCCCCCATCCTGTGGCAGTTGCTGGAATTGTATAATCCATATCATTGAGTGTAATATTATAGTGCTATACATGTAATAACTATCTGATTGTACATAATGCTATGTGTGGTGGCATTGCATGAAAATTAAAAAAAAAATAAGGATTACAACAAAGTGTCATATTGATGCAATTTACATCTTCGTGAATCCAAATCCTAATCCACATGATGTCCTCCTCCTAGCACTTCCGTGCGTCAGTCTTTACAAATCATTTGACAAGTTTGAAATGTGTGTTAAAAGTCAGCTCACCCAAAGCATATTTCAGCTTCAGATGGGCAGCATTGGATCAATTCTCCTGCTGGTTTTATAGATCTCTTGGGGATTCCTCTGCTGAGGTTTCCTCTATCTGCTTTGGATGAGATGAACCTATTATTGTTCTGTTTGCTCCTTTGTTACGCCTTTAATAAGCCTTCCACAAGCTAAGCATCCAATGAAAAAGCCACTCAGGCATCTTTATGGGTCCTTTAAAATAAACCTATTTGACTGATAGGGACGCTGGGGAGGTGAAATGGGTAGAGCCGTTCTTGACATCACAAGACTTATGTTTTGGAGGTCTGGATGGACTAATTATTTGGACAATCAGCGTTCATGGCGAGCACTTCTACCAATGTATTTTTTCATCAAATGCGTGCTTTGAATGGTTCCCTTTGTGAATGGGTCCCATGCTGGTCAAAGGTCAGTTACAGACATCAGGTGCTGGAACATTCCAGCACCCAACACTGGATATGGAGTGGTTCTATAGGATCAAGGAATTTGGTTAAAATCCTAGGACAGTCCCTTAGAAATCAGGACAGTTAGGGGAATGGGATCAGTGACACTGTGCCTGCCATTGCGAACTACCCCAAAAACTCAGGCATCTTTATGGCTCCTTTAAAAAAAAATCCATTTGAGCGATAGATACGCTGGGGAGGTGAAATGGATGAAGCCATTCTTGAAATCACAAGACTTATGCCTTATAGGTCTGGGTGGACTGATTATTTGGACATGCAGCTTTCATGGCGAGCACTTCTACCAATGAATTTTTTCGTCATATGCTTGCTTTGAATGGTTCACTTTGTGAATGGGCACCGTGCTGGTCGGAAGTCAGATACAGGCATCAGGTGCTGGAACATTCCAGCACCCGACAATGGACATAGGGTGGTTCTACGGGATCATGGAATTTGGTTAAAATTCTAGGACAGTCCCTTAGATTTCAGGACAGTTAGGGGTATGTGATCAGTGACACTGTGTGTGTCTGGCATTGCGAACTACCCCAAAAACTCAGACATCATTATTGGTCCTTTAAAACCCATTTGACTGATAGGAACACTGGGAAGATGAAATGGGTAGAGCCATTCTTGAAATCACAAGACCTTTGTCTTATAGGTCTGGATCAACTGATTATTTGATTGACTTTATCATCTGACACGCAACTTTCATAAGGGGAACCTTCTACCAATGTCTTTTTTCATCATATGCTTGCTTTGAGTGGCCCTGTTTGTGAAAGGATTACTTTAAATTTGGTTCATTTTGGGAGACTTTTTACCAGATTATCTGAGCTTGTTACGATGGGAAAGACTTTTGGAAAATAAAACTTCTCTTTAAAAATACTCTCACCTTCAGTGGAAGTGCTGCACCATCACTTAGACTGCCCTGGGGCCTGTATGGCAGCAAATAAGAGTACAGTTAGTGATATAATTAGTAGTTATTCGCAGCTCTGTTGAATAACCCTTTATAGAGGGAAGGGAAGAATTCAGATTTTTTTTTTGTCGTGAGTCGTGTGGGCGGAGATCCAGTTTTATATAAAAGGAGTCTTTAAGCCTTGTGCTGCTGACTGCAATATGACTGCAAATCACTTTTTAGTTCAACTCTTCTAAAGAGTCTGAAAAGCTGCTGAATTATTTACAGTAACTGAACATTTTATTATGAAAAAAAGAAGATTTAGTGTCTGAAGTTGTATCGCGTTTGCAGAGAGATGGTACATGTAATGGGGTAATTATCTTTGTGCATGGTTGTCCTCATTTTACCGCAATAGACGACACTTTATCCAGAGTCCTTGCAGTAAACATACAGCCATGTAAACTAGTATTAGAAAACATACAGCAGATATATGCCCAACATGAGCTGCGATAGTCAAGCCTAGGTCAGCCACCTTCCTGCACCACCTTATTGGTCTATGAGAACGTTCATTATAAAGATGAACAAATAGAAAGATCTGGTAGCATTGAGTTGAGACCCCCCCCCCCTCCGCCCCTATTCAGACCTCGAGCATGACCAGCAGTCAATGATGGCTGTCAGGCTTTATAGAGCTATCTGCTGCCTGCTCAGACCTTTGATCACCACGTCTGACAGATGGAAGTCTTTCAGTATCGACTTTCTTTGAGAATCTGAGATATCATGTGATTGATTGCCAAGAGTTCGAATGGAAGTCAATATTGGAAGCACCCAAAAATGAAACATGTTGTACACCTTTGTTAAAGGAATCTGAATGATAAGGCTTATGACACACTTGCGATGCTCCAACTGGCAGTATAACAATGGAGGACATAGTAGGGAGGTCAAGCACTCACCTGCTTGCCTGTGCCGCTCCTTCACCTGCTGGATGAGAGAGGAGTTTCTCATAAACCTTTCAATGAAAGGTTTATGAGTAGGCAGAAAGGTTTAAAAGTGAGACGAAAAGGTGTAACCGATGAAGCTTGTTCTGGTCGCCCATCGACATCGCAC